AGGTAATTTTGATACATCTTCAAGTTTGAGAAACACTGGTTTAAAAAAAAGAGCTCCCTAAAGTCTGAACAACTGGGTACACCACTAATGCTTTATGCTTGTGTAGCAGTTTACAATTCAGCAAACTTTCCTACTTTACCTCTTCTGAGCTTTCCTAAAGCAATCCCACAGAGTAACTAAAATAGATAGGTTCAGCATTTTATAAATGAAACTGAAGCTCAAAATATTTAAGGGATTTGCTCAAAGTCATGTAGCATGCAAGGACAGATCCAAAATTAGAGCCCAGGTCTTCTGAGTCTTAGAAACGGGCAGGCAGGACCTTCAGAGAACAGGGCAAGTGGCTGTAAGCACTAAGTAATGGCCTGAAGGGAAGAGCTCCCTAAGGCTCAGATGATGACAGCGAGGGGGACCAACACACATTCAGGCAACCTCCTAGCAGGTGACTCACGGACATTTGTACTTGGAGCTCTCAGAGACCACAGCAAAATGCACTAACCCTTTTTTTGCCTGTTTGCTATTATGTGAAACCAGCTTCAAGAAACACAGATATTTAACCCTCACCAACTGATTTAGTGAATGAGTCAGTCACCTTTTGTTGTTTGCTCCACAATTCTACAAATAATTCATTTGAAGTCAAATTATATAGAACAGAAAAATCACCTTAATATGTGGGGGGGAAGCTGTGTGTGTGGGTACATAACTTATGTGTTTTGTACTTATAGAGACAGAAATTATCATAATTTGCTTTTGTCACATGAGAGTTGCATGCTGTGTTCCTCAGGCCATAAATGAATTCACAGGTGCATAAACATCCTTTAAAAAATGTATATAATATGCCATATTCCTAGACAATATATAGTATGCTATACTCCATTATTTACCAAATACATTTAATACAAGATTTTACAGGCAATGGAAGGTCATTCAAGTATCAGTAATAACCCATAAGTTTTGACTACTTTTAGTGATTTAGTTACAGAAAAAAAAACTTATAATTGTCACAAACTCTCCCTATGGACTCATGCCCACAAAGTTTGTTTTCAAATAGTGAATTATAAGTGGTAGAAAACCACATACTGTGTCAGAAGTTTGTTGGAGTGTTGACACTTTCTTAGTGAATGTAGGCGTTCCAGATGCCTTATAGAAGAGAAGCCACTTTTTTCCTTGAAATTTGCACAAAATTTTCACATTTTACAAATAATGACATCTTTTGTGTTGTTTCTTCTTCTTTCCCTTAGTGTAGAAACAAACAGGGGAAAAAAATACCTAAAATTTTGAAAAATGAAAAATTTAACTATCTAAGATAATTAGTTGCTTATGGCTAACACTTATTAGGTATATTTAAATGGAAAAAATGATATCACTATAAAAAGTATTATAATATCCTACAAACATCAGTTAGAATTGTGAAATAAATAAAATTTCAATACCTTGAGTTTAAAATATTTAAAATGGCAATAGTGTGAAGTCCCTGCATTTTATCATATAGGTACTTATGCTAGATATGTTCAGATATGCATGCATATGTAATTTTTACAAAGTTACTTTATGAACAGATACACTGGGATCAAGTATTTTATAATTATCTTTACAGACATATGCTGCTGATATTGAAAATATAGTCAATGGACTGTTAAAAATTAAATTTTAAAGGTTGAATTGGAACACTATCTATTTCCACTTTTCCCTTGATTTATCAAGAGAGCTACATGGTTTCAACCTGCCGAGATTAACCAGGAGATGAATCTCTGTGGGTGCCTGTGTGTAAGCGTAGAGGGTTGGAAGGACCAGTGCTAGAAACTCATCCAGTAATTGATGAACTCCTACACTTGTGGGGATGGCAGGGAGGCAGGTGGGCATTGCTCAGGAAAACACCTGAGACTTCCCAACAAGTAAAGTCCTGTGGGCAAGTGTGTCTCACACTTTCCTATGCATATGGATAGAAACACAGATTCCGGTTCAGTAGATTAGGAAGGAGCCCCAGACACTGCTGCTGCTGCCACTGATCTGTAGATCACATTTTGATTCTTTGCCTTAGAGATGGAAGATGGTGTTGTGGTTTCCTTTAGCTCTTAAAGGATCATAAAGGGCCTCATAAAGATCTAGAATCTTCTCTGGGAAACAACTGAGTTAGGTTGGTATACATGAGAGTATCTCTCTTTCCGTCTTGTTTTGTTACCTTCATTCTATAGTCTTCATTTTTCTCCCAAAAGATAGAATTACAGAGCAGTACCCCCAGATTAGTATATGCTCTATCAAGACGCACTTTTACATCAAAGATCATAATTATACAAAAATGATCATCAGTTCCCAAAAGAAACACTTGGTTCATGGAAGTAGGCAGTGAAGGTAAATGTTGTGGGGACAGTCAGCCAAACTCCTGTCACCGAACCACCAGAATTACAAGCCTCCCTTGTCTCGTGTTGCCATTTCAGATTATTCAGGGCCACGGACTCAGTGAGAGAGGATTTTTCTTCCCCTCGCCATTTCACTTTCTCAGTGCCAAACATCTACTGTGGCTTCCAATGAATCAAGTTCTCCTTCCTCTCCTCCCATGGAAGCTCACGTTCCCAGTAAAATGCCACAAATAAAGTGGAAGCAAGTCTTTCCCAGGCTGGACTTGTAAACAGAAAGCAAGAGCGCCATTCTTCCCCAGGAAACTGACCCACAAAGCTTACTGGATTCCATTAAAGAGACTGAGAAGAAGGTCAGCTAAGAAAACAAAGGGAACTCTCTCCACAGTTACTTCTGATAGAGTTCCACCGACCCAGAAATAAAGCCTTGTCCAGGGCAAAGGAAATAAAAAAGAGGGCACATTAGGTGAGGTTTGGGGAAGCAATGGACTCTCACAGGTGACTTCTTTGGATGCTCTGATAGTCTGTCTTCTCTTTCCCAGGGAATAACTGCTTCTATATTTATTCTCTTTTCTCACTATCCCCATTTCCACATTGTAATGTCTACTAAAGGGTGTTGCTTAGAAAATCCATTTCTTTGAGCCATAGACACACAGAAGCACATATATACCATATACAGATACTTATGTAGGTACTGAGATATTGATGCCACTCATAGACATAGACTTCTATGCATATACTGTATGAAATATAAAAATACCTTTTTTCTTCTGAACTAATATTTAGATGCTTATCTAACTCTTTAATAACTATAGCTTAAGATATAGGTGATGCTGACTTAGAAAGATCTCACAAAGTTCATGGACATTTAAATAAAAACTTATATATCCAGGGTATTCACTTCTCTCATATTCAATCTTATAATCAGTGAAACTATTTTTAGGGATAGCATAAATTTATATAGAGTGCTTCACTAGTAAAGGGTTAATGATGTTAGGGAGTAAGAATGTTAGCAATTGAGATGGCATGCTTATGTGTTTGCAAAAACATTTTCTGCATCATGTTCAAATCCCTCTGCAAATAGATAAATTACTCCATAAATCTTATTACTCCATGTGGATAAATCATACAGGCAGGTTTACAGGGCCGGAGAGCTAGAAGGGAAAATCTACTTTGGATAGAAGGATCTTTGGGATTCATCATCACTCAATGCTCAGGAAATGAAGAAAGGGGTACTTACACATTAGCATTTTCTTAGTTTTTACAATCTGCAGCAACATACACGCACACAACACAACACACACAACACACACACATTCCTCTCTAACAAGGCTAGAGATCCCAAAGCAGGACACTATGACAGCCAACCAAATTTATTTCTGAGAAAAGGAAAGAAAACTTTGCTGCTGTAGGCAGCTCTGCCACAGAACTGCTCCCTGATGCCCCAGGGTTTATGCACTATCAGCTCCTTGCACACAGATTAGAGGTTTATTTTCTATTGTATACCGTTTTTTTTATCGCCACAACAAGCAATATGAGCTAGATAGACAGACTGCCATTGGATTATCTCAGCTGGATGAAATGAGATTTTAAAAGATCTCCAAAGAGAACATTTTCTCTCATTCTTTTTTTTTTCTTTTCTTACTCTTCTTCTTCTTCTTCTTTTTTTTTTTTTTAGTATCTGATGGAAATTCAAAGAAAGCTAGAAAAAAAGACAAGGGGTATGTGCAGTTGGTGGAGGGGGGAAGAGAGAAGAGAAACACAGGAAAAGAAGCTTGGAGCTTTTCAGAGATAGAATCATGGCTAGGTTCCATGCGAGTTTCTCTAGCTCACTGCCCCTTATTGGGGTCAAACTCCCAAGGACTTGGGACTCTTCTTTTCCAAATTTCAATCCCAAATTACATTTCAGAGTACGGCAGAGCTGCACAGAGATAAGACTTTGAGGTCAATAATCAATTTGGAATATCCATTTTATGCCAGGTTAATTCTTTCCTAACCTCTGTGCTTAACACTCCTATCCTTAATATCAGCAATTTGGCAAGTTTCTTTTTTTCCCCTTCTCTTCATTCTTGTATTGATTTCTATCCACATTCCAGAAAAGGCTCGGTAACCAACCAAAGTTCTACAATTGATTTATTGCTCTCGATGTCAATTAGAAGATCCTTACAGAAACTCTCCTATCTGAACTACTGCTGGGGCAGAGCGAGAGCCTTGATGTGCATATTCACACACACACACACACACACACACACACAGAACAGAGAATGCAGCACTGTGTGCCACTCTCTGAGAGCCATAATTCAACATCCCTTCTTTCTCAATTAAGGGACCCCAACAAAACTCTGAAGTGCAAAGCATCTTCAATTACAAAGGCGAGAATATTGCCCAGTGTCACGAATACCACAGGCGAAGTTAGGCTTTCTGAGTAAGAGAAACGAGGTCCTAAGACCCAAATAACATTTAACTAACCCTGCCGGTCCTGGACAGGGACCAGAATTCCCTTGAAATTTGTCAGCAGATACCTTGCCAGTCAGTAAAAGGCATGCATGTGCACACACACACACACCAGCCTGCAGCATCAGCAGCTGGAGTTCAAGGAGATCACACACACACTCACGCAGCAGAAAAGTTGCCCGAAAGCCCTACCTGAGGATGGCCGTGTCCCCCTGCCTCACGGTGATGTTGTCCGTGCCTCGGTTAAAATCCACGCTGCGAACAGGCAGTCCTGTGGGAAGAAGGCAGAGCAATCTCAGTAGGACCAGCGGCAACTGTTTCCGATCAGGCTGAACTCTGCCGACCATGGTGGCCACGCCGAGGTGCGGGTCCGTGTACTCTGGAGGGTGTGCGCGTGCTGCTCGCCGAGAGGGCTTTACAAACAGCGGGCTCTCATCCACAGCAGAGGCAGCACAGGCTTTGCCAGTTTGTGGTCCTTTCCACTTTGCCTCTTTCCCTCGCTCAGTCTCTTTTCCCTCTAAGTCTTAACAAAGCCCTCATAAAACCCAAGCAGAGGGGGGAAAAGTCGAAGCAACACAATTTAAAAAGAGAGAGAGTACAAATATAAAACCCTTGAGAAAAGGTGAAGAGAAGGCTGCAAAGGGAAGGTGTTCTCCGGTCTGTCTGTAGCTGGATGCTCCTTTGCCAGTGTCGGCGCTGAGCTCCTTCGCTCCGTAACCCACTTTCCCGGGCGGGCGAGTGAGCCAGCACCCAGCCTGCCGGGGCGAGTCAAGAAAGCCACAGAGCAGCGCCAGCAGCCCAGAGCCTCTCTCTCCCCCTCCTCCCTTTCCTGTTTCTCCCTCCAGTCCCTCCCTCTCTCTGCTCGCACCTCCCCCGCCCCCGCGGATTTCAACAGCCCCTCCACGTCATCCCCTCCGCCCTCCCCTCGCCGTGGCCCCTCGCTTTGCACAACTGCCCCCTTCGGCAGCAGCCAGCCTCAATGAAAGCCTGATGCGCCTTTAGGTTGTCAGGACAACAGCTCCATCTGAGGCCTGGCTGATTTCCTTAAGAAGAGGGAATGGAGCTTGGAGGTACTGTGCGAGAGAGAGGGAAGAAGGAGAGAGACTTAAGCTCTGAAAGAAGAGGAGGAGAGTCCTGGACAGGGGAGGAGAAGGTTGAGGAAGGAAGGAAACGGAGATGGGAGGGAGAGAAAGCCGGGAAGGCAAACCTTGGCAGACAGAGGGAGTGAAACAGAGAAGGGCAGGGAAGTGTGGGGGTGGAGGGGCCCAGTGCTGAAAGATGGAATGAGGAATGGAAAACAGCGAAGAAACTTGACATTGGAGTCGGAGATGAAAAGCCAAAGTTGATTTCAAAACTAAATGTTCCTGGTAACTGGCCCTTCATACTCACATCTTGTTCATTCTTTCTCCTGCACTTTCTTTTAAAGGATTAAAAAGGTTTATTTTCTCTCCTTCCTTTATCCCTTCCCCCTCTTGGAGCCCCCTTCTGAAGGATGGATTGGAGACAATGCTGGTATTGAGTGGTCTGGGGTGTGAATGCTTGGTTTGTCTTTTCCAAGTACCAGCCTCAGCAGCTGATCTCTGATCCCTAAATCAACCTCTCTCCAGGAAACCCTCACTCAGTCCCACACGTGAAGAATGGTATTAAGGATTATTATTTAAATGTCACGTTGCTGTTGCTACCCAAGTTTATACTGGCACTTGCTTCTCAGAATGTTCATGTGCAAAGAAGGAGATTGGTATATCAGAAAGCTGGTCATTTACAGGGCGACTCTAAGGCTGCATACGACACTCCAGGGAATGGCAGACAGGTTACCATCATCTGTCATTCCTTCTACTCCATGAGCCAAGCCAGGTGATAAGGGCCACAAGGGGCCAACACTGTGAGTCCCTCATGTGAGAGCCCCAAACTTTTAGACATCTCCCTCAGTACTGATGCTGAGGATAAAAGATGGAGGTGGACCAGCCAAGGACTTTTTACATTTTATTTATTTGAATAGTTAAGGCATTCACATGGTGCAAAAATCAAGCGGTACAGAATGTGGTAGAGTGAATTATAGTTTATCTTTTGTATCCCTGTTTTTAGGCAACCCATTTCTCCTGTTTGGAGGCAACAAATATTTCCAGTTTCTTATACATCTTTCCCTAAATATTCCATGTACACACAAGTAAATACACACACACACACACACACACACAATATGTCCACCTCTCTTATTTACACAAATGATTGGCCAAGGACATTAAAAAAAAAAGGAATAGGTTTAGAAATCCTTATTAAGCCCCACCAGAGTACAAGCCCTAAGGAAGCACTTCCTGTGCTGACCCCTGCCTTGTCCCGCCAGAATATTCAAAGAATTTATCTGCTGCATTTTATCAGTTTAAAAGGTAGATACACTCTTACAGATTATGTGAAGAAAGAATGGAAGACCTTTTGTTTTTTAAGAAAAGAATTTTAAGTATTGAAATCTTAATTGTCACAAATCAAGATTGGTGGAGTTCAATTAATTTTGTTTGTACTATGCATTAATTTTATATAAATCAAGCTGTCCTATGTTGGGGCTGATATGCAGTCCCCGGATAATAAGCTAATGATGTTCCACCACTAATTCATAACTCAGGTAACTCAGATCATTTGTCACAGAAAAAATGGTTAAGTGAAGTAGTTAGTCAAGCTACAAAACCCATAATCCTGTGATTCCCAATATCAAGGGAAAATGAGCTTCAAGTACCAAGTGGAGATGCAAGGATTACATAACTCTCTGCCAAGATTGCAGGGGAAAGAGCACCCACCCCCACTCACCACTGCCAGTAGGTTTGACAAGCTCTGGCAGGCTTCTTCTGAGCTTTCAGAGATGAAGGGTTGGCTTAGACAAAGACTTAGATATAACATCTTCTTTGGGTGGGTGGTATTTCTTCAATGTCAGGAGGAGGAAAAGAAAGACATAAAGGACTGGGGCCACTAGAACATCTATTTCCCTTGATGAAGCTAGGTGAATGATGTGACCACCCAATGGGACCTAGATACTCTGAGGGGAAGGATCAGATATATCAAGAGCATGAGTATCCTCTTGTATCAGTGGACTACATATTAAATGAAGGAAAGAAGAGGTTTTTCTGGGGCAAGGAGGAAGTATGGTGAGGAGGTAGCATATTATTTGCAGGAGATGCTTATACATGGTTGTTGACTAATGCCTATACCAGTAATCTCAAGTCACCAGTAGCACTTGTCTGGTCCAAGGATGAAGCATAAAGTTTAACATACTGGGGTAGAAAATAATTCATACCAAAATGGTAGAAATGTAGAATTTGTAGAAATCAATCAGATCTGGAATTTGTCTCTATAATCACTCTGAGAGAAGGATATATGAAGTTAATCAGGATTGTAATCAGAATTATAATAGACATGCCTAACCTACCTAAGAGGATAAAATTATAAGTACATATTTATGTAGAAAAAATCATGTAATGCAATTAAAGTTTTTTTTTAATACTTTCATTAAATAAAGTCCATTTCTTGGCAACTTTTGTTAAACTAAATTGACTTACTGTGTGCACTGAAAGTAAAACACAAAAAGAAGACTACATTTTAAAAATTCTCTAATTTAGACTGATAATTCAGACTAGAGTTCTGAACAATCTGAAAATCATGAAGTTTATTATGTAGGTTAATTATTTAATATTTATCATTTACATCCAGGTGGCACTTCAAATACAACTTTCTAACCTAACCCCTGACCCAGAGGGAGCACTCTCTAATTGATTAATATAAGAATAGAGGAATGATCGAATGCCCATGCCCACTCACGTGGCTTATCTCATCATTTACAAACTAATAAATCTATTTGTGGGTGTACTACCTACTTCCATCTCAAGTTTATGTTGTCTCAGAGTCCTTCCCCTTTTCACTACCTCATGGAGTCCTTCTGGTTTTCTCTCCTCCATGATCTCTCACTGAGATCTAATACATTCTAATAAATCCAATAGTCAATATATACTGAGTATAGTCAATTCAGTAGTCAATATATACTTATCTCCTCCTAACGGTCACTCCCTCAAATCTACTCTGATATTAACTCCTCTGCTTGCTTTTCTAAGAAATGTAGAGAAAGAAACAAATAGCTGAGTTACTGAAATTTATACAGGCTATTTTTCTGTAAACCACTATATCCATTCTTCCAAGAGGGCTGGCAAAAATGAACATAGTTTCAGGTTATTTGTGAGGCAAGTATGGCTGTTAGCCATGTGAAACAGCCATCATCACCCAAGTAAGATGATCTTAACTACTTCTTTAAAATAACATACTGCCTTTCTAAAAGAGGCTTTAGAAGATTCTGGCACTCTCCAGGGACAAATGCTGCAGGAAAAACAAAAACTGGCTAACGTCTGAGCACCCTAAAAAGCTTGAAAGGTTTATTCTTCTGTTTAGCTTTGTAAGGTAATAGACTCACAGAAAATCCAGATGCAGACTGGAATGTACAACTAATTGAGCTATATTGCTTGCATTTTATGCTAAACACGTCTATATATTATTAATACACCACTCTTCATTTCTACAGTTGTAAGGTCTTAATTATAATAATGCTATGCCTGTACTTTACTTTCATAAGTGGAATTAGCATTTCCATATGAACTGGAAATGCAGAATTGTTAATACTTCTCCTTAGGATTCCTACTATGACATTCTCAATGATTTCATCACAATTTAGTAATATTCAAGTATCTCAGTTTATGCTCATATGCGTGGCACTATCTCTTGTGAATTTCCTTTGGAATTTGTCTCCTTTGAATACAGTTGCTTCATTCGTATGTGTGTCACTGCCTAACAAAATCAATCAGCTTCAAGTCAGTTAAACATTGTTCAAATCCTTACTATAGAATCCTCAGTGATATAAAGCCTCAGTCCATACTCTGCACAACTAAATCACTCTTTCATGGTTTGCTTTTAGTTCATGCCTTTGTGGTTCATTGTTACCATATTGGTCTTCTGATTATTCGCTTACTCATTCTGTTTTGGTAGATGTTAACGCTTGGATCTGTCCAAGTATTCATAAGGTCTTTGAGATTCTTGAGCTGCTGCTTGGGTCCTCCCACACCAGCAAACTTACTCTCATATATATGCCTTATTATTTCACAGACATGTACTCACTAACACTTGGACTTTCCTCTTTTCTAGATTGTCCACCCTGCCACCATGTACAAGGAGGTGGCGATTGCCAAGTTATGTTGCATCTGCATTGCTGTTGTTCTTTTTGATTTCTCTCTTACACATGGAAAGACCACTGCAACATCTGGAAAGATGGTGGTAGCAGCATCTTCAGTATAGCAAGATGTTAGTACAAGCAGGTAATCAGGCAATTATATCCTCTATTTGTGGTTGCCATAGTGACCTGGATTCCTACAATCAGAAAATAGGCCAAGGAGAAATGAGGAAGAGTGGAGGCAGATGTGCAATTCTACACTCTGACATGCCCAGTAGGTTTATGATTCATTCATTCACTCGATATACTTTTATTGATATGGTTGTGAATCAAGACAGACCAAGACTCTGTTCTCATAGAACTTATATCCTTGATGCAGAAATAGACACTAAACAAGTAAACACACATTAAGATTACTTTGGAGAGTAAATGCTATGGAGAAAAATATGTGTGATACAGAGAAAATGGCCTGGAAGTGTGATGAGGGGAACATATGTCCTGAAATCTAAGGAGGAGGGCATGCAAATATCTAAAAAGAACATTCCAGATAAAAGGAATGGCATGTGCAAAGACCCTGAGGCAAGAATGGGTCTGTCATACATCAGGAACCAAAACAAGAACAATAGACC